GTGGAGCACTGCACTTCGTTCTTATGTTGGTGTCCCAATTTCAGACAGAAGCCTTATGATGAGGAGAAGAGTCTAGAGAGGGAATCCAAGTCGATATACGAACTGAGGTACATCTGGTGTAACCTACATGCATTATAAACACAAGTAACTAAATAGGACTGGCCTGGAAGGAGTGGTGGATCAAGCGCGATATTAATGAATGAAGAAAGAAACAAATAGTTAATATCGGCAAACTTGGTCAACAAAAAGGCAAGCAAGGAACAAAAGGAGGAACAATAGTCCGCAAGCGGACAAAAGAGAAAAGGCCATCTGGCTGTCTAGCAAGCCGTCTGGCTGGCAAGCAGACAACAATGAAGCAGGCAACCTAGGTTGGAAGGTACACACGCGAGGGAGGAAGTGCGGATGAGGGTGATGGGTGGATGGATGGGTGGACAGATGATGATGATAGCGGGAGGGATGGGCCAAGTGGCACTAGGACACATTGACAGAAGTGACGGATATGTCGGGTTGTGACAGACTCTCTTATCACAAACTAACATGTGAACCCTGACACATGAGAATGAGGTACACTCCAGCTGAGTCATTGAAGCCAAAATCCTGCTTTACCTCCAGCTTGCTCTCTCAGCCCTCAATGGGCAGCTACACTAGACCAGCTGCCAAGGATCAGCCACCATCAGGAACCCTCAATAACATCCCCACTCAATCCTGACATGTTATGAGGGCTCAGGGTCATTCCCTTGCACTCCACTAGCCTGCTTCCAGCATCTGACACCTCCCACCTCCAAAAGGGGATTTACATGTGTTTCCTGACACTCCTTTTTTGTCCTGTTCCCCCCAGTAGCCTGATTACAGCACAGATTATTATTCTGAAATACCCACACATGAAGGCCACTGCATGCTAGGTTTCCAAGTGAGAACAACAAAACAAACACATGTCAGATTACATGCAGCCAAGCTTATCAAGATCAGATGAAATATCAACACTGAAGACTTGACCAGTTTTAGATCCAAAAGCCACCAAAGATCCCAGTGAAGCCCAGGTAGATGGTTGATAATTAGGAGGTAGAGAGAAAATATATAATGAATCAACACAAAGCCATTGTCCATCCTTAACAACTACAGCAGACTTTGAAACCCCATTTTGGAGCACAAAAGGGCCCAGGCCAGAATCCCCACAAGAATGGTCCAGTGTCTTGAGGTGGCTCCCACTGTGAGGGTCCCACAGCCTGATGGTATCATCATCTGATGCTGATGCCAGGAGCAATCCATCTGGGGAGAAGGCCACAGATCTCACCCAATGAGAATAGCCCTCAAGTGTCTTGAGGTGGCTCCCACTGTGAGGGTCCCACAGCCTGATGGTATCATCATCTGATGCTGATGCCAGGAGCAATCCATCTGGGGAGAAGGCCACAGATGTCACCCAATCAGAATGGCCCTCAAGTGTCTTGAGGTGGCTCCCACTGTGAGGGTCCCACAGCCTGATGGTACGATCATCTGATGCTGATGCCAGGAGCAATCCATCTGGGGAGAAGGCCACAGATCTCACCTGACGAGAATGGCCCTCAAGTGTCTTGAGGTGGCTCCCACTGTGAGGATCCCACAGCCTGATGGTACGATCATCTGATGCTGATGCCAGGAGCAATCCATCTGGGGAGAAGGCCACAGATCTCACCCAATCAGAATGGCCCTCAAGTGTCTTGAGGTGGCTCCCACTGTGAGGGTCCCACAGCCTGATGGTATCATCATCTGATGCTGATGCCAGGAGCAATCCATCTGGGGAGAAGGCCACAGATCTCACCCAATCAGAATAGCCCTCAAGTGTCTTGAGGTGGCTCCCACTGTGAGGGTCCCACAGCCTGATGGTATCATCATCTGATGCTGATGCCAGGAGCAATCCATCTGGGGAGAAGGCCACAGATGTCACCAAATCAGAATGGCCCTCAAGTGTCTTGAGGTGGCTCCCACTGTGAGGGTCCCACAGCCTGATGGTATCATCATCTGATGCTGATGCCAGGAGCAATCCATCTGGGGAGAAGGCCACAGATCTCACCCAATCAGAATGGCCCTCAAGTGTCTTGAGGTGACTCCCACTGTGAGGATCCCACAGCCTGATGGTACGATCATCTGATGCTGATGCCAGGAGCAATCCATCTGGGGAGAAGGCCACAGATCTCACTGAATGAGAATGGCCCTCAAGTGTCTTGAGGTGGCTCCCACTGTGAGGATCCCACAGCCTGATGGTACGATCATCTGATGCTGATGCCAGGAGCAATCCATCTGGGGAGAAGGCCACAGATCTCACTGAATGAGAATGGCCCTCAAGTGTCTTGAGGTGGCTCCCACTGTGAGGGTCCCACAGCCTGATGGTACAATCATCTGATGCTGATGCCAGGAGCAATCCATCTGGGGAGAAGGCCACAGATCTCACCCAATCAGAATGGCCCTCAAGTGTCTTGAGGTGACTCCCACTGTGAGGGTCCCACAGCCTGATGGTATGATCATCTGATGCTGATGCCAGGAGGGATCCATCTAGGGAGAAGGCCACAGAACCCACTGGCCTAGTGTGACCAATAAGAGTGGCAAGATGGGAAGGCCATTCTACCCTATGCCCAACATGAATAGCTACACTTGGACTAGGTACTTGTTGAAAACCCTCTAACAGCATGCTGTTGGTGGGAAGGGTTGGCAAGACAGACTGGCTGATGTGTGCTGAACTAGCTTCAATGGTTTGTGCATTGGTCAAAATCATCCGGAAGGCTTCATGCAATACAGTGGCAATGTGTGCCAGGTGTGTCATAGCCCTCTAATTTAAATTAGTATTATGATCAGGCAAAGAGTATGATAACAAACCATCCAGGGAAGAATGTGGCGTAAATCTCTGGCAGCATCACCCACACAACCAATCATTCCCATCACCCCAATCCACCGTAGCAAAAGGCCCTTCCCACCACTCCTCCCTAGACCAGTGAACTTCTCCAGTGCCTCTCTAATCTCATCATCCACAACCTGAAGCTTTCCTAGATGGAAGGTCCAAAAGCGGCATGCATATTGCACTTCTTCCCCCACCAGTGAAGTGAGCTTCACACCTAGATCCTTCACACCCACATTGAGCGAGTAACGTGGCACAATTTCATCCACAGCAGGAACAAGCCCAGCAATGAGAAGGTTCAGGCAGCGGAGAGCCATCCACCTCTCATGCTTCATCACATCAACTTTGAGCAGAGAGTCCTTGCACCGTTGTAGGATAAAATCAGGGAAGGAAGGATGGTAGACCTCAACTCTGCCCTCTGGCTGTGGAGGAAGCGGTATGATGGATTGGATGCGGGTGAGCATTGATGTGGGATTAGAAACCATTGCAAAAGTGCCAAGTGCTTTTAGGGGTAACGGATTGTTGAGCAGAACAATGGTATGTAGAATACGGTAGAACTGGTCACATATATCAGGTGGAATTTTAGCAATGCAAGCAGACAAAACCGTTTCATACAACTTGTCAAGTTCAGCATAAGGACCCACATCAGCTCTTTCAAAGCCATCTTTCAAGAGGGTGTCCAATTGATACATCGGATGCTGAACATCATCGTCACCTATGAATTTGATAGCAGTAGCAGCCCAGATGAAGAGGCGGCCAGCTCTCCCTGCAAGGGCCGAAATCATAACAGTTGTTGGCCATGGTTCCTGAACGGCGTCTCTGAACCGTTCGCAAATGGACTTGAGTTCATGCCGAAGATATGACTCGATGTCCTGCAAAGCGATGTCCTTATCGACTTCATGAATCACAATTTTGTCCACATTCACCGCTCGGTTCAGATCCGCAATGAGGTGGGGTTCTGGCCTGCTTGTCATGAGTATGCGGAGACCGGGGATGTCAGTGCAGCCGGGAACAAGGCAGCCAAGTAATTCTTTCACTCCATCCACATCATCTCGCTTACACTCATCCAGGGCATCAATTACAAGGACAAGAGGCTCAGAAAGACTGAGGCCTCGAAGGGGTGCAAAGAGGAGTGAGGAGCATTGGGTGGAAAGTGAAGCATAGGGAAGATTCTCATCCTTCTTCAATGCCTCCGCGACAGCCACACCGAATGCAGGAAGTTTCTTGGCAATGTTTCGCACAATTGATCCAAGGAAGAACTTCGCATGAGATAATTCGGCATGCTGACGGACAAAGAAGAAGCTAGAACCGAGAAGGCCGTGCTCCTCGGTGTACTCCGCAATGGTGCGCGCGATAGTCGACTTGCCGATCCCCGCTAGGCCATTAATCCAGAATACTGGTTTCCCTGTATCGCTGATCGGTCGGTTCAGCCACTGCTTGATATGACCAAGAATTTTGGCCCGTGTCCCAGGGAAACAGCTAGATGGGGCACCGGGGCGGTTGGTGTCATAGCCAGCGCCGAGAACATGGGGAAGTTTGTTGAGATAGGACTCAAGCTGCTTTGCCTCCTCCAAATTTTCGTCGCGCTTCTGTACTCGGAAACAGTCAGAAAGGATGATTTCCATGGCCACAAACGGAAATTACCTTAAGGTGGCCAGGAAGTCGCCAACGGATTGGTCAGCCTAGGAGCTTGAGAGATCTGATGCAAACTGCGCCGTACCTCAATCTGTGTAAGGATAGTTTCCATTCTTAAATTGCCTTGGACTGCTTGCAAAGCCTACGTCCATGGAATTAGCTTTAAACTTTATGTATACTAGGAGAGTGCTGACTAGAAAGGCGATCACAGCATTATGCATCTCCTCCCCAGCCAGACGAACAGCCCCTTCGATTTCGTCGCGATTCACCCATAGGGACGCAGAGTTCTGGTCGAGAAACAACTGCAATGGTGCAATAGCTGCATTAAGCCGGCTGAAAGAAACGGTCAGTTTAGCCCGACTCCGATAGGCAACCAGAGATGTATACACACGTCGATAAAGTATCGATCGCCTCAGCTACCTCGGAAGGAATAGGATCCTTAGAGCCATAGCGTTTGAGAGGCTCGGATATCGAATCTTTGAAGAATTCAATGTTCTTCTGAAGCTGACGAATCGCATCGGTATTCGCTCCCACTTTCTATAAGAGTTTGAACATGACGTCCCCACTAGCGCTTATGGCAGAGCACACCTCTAATTGGTTAACTACTTCAAGGAAACCGCCGATCGCGCCTTTGAGGCCGGGAACGGGAACACTATCCAGACTCGCCTGCGCAATACGCAGTACGCTCTTAACACCGTTCCAAATGGTACCAACGCTTGTGGCGCCTTTAGTGTCACCCTTGGTATTTCCCTTGACATCGTCCTCGAGGTTTCCTTTGAGAGTTCGCTCATTGTCTCCCTTGGGGTTGACTCTGGTGTCGTCGCCAGGGTCGGCCGACGACGGCGGCAAGGGTGTGGAAGAAGGCACCCTCGAAGCTTGTTTCAAGTCGGTATTCCCCTTAATTATGCCCTTGACGTTTCCTTTGGTATATTCCTCCATATCTCCTCTGGTGTTGCCGGACGGCGATGGCAAGGGAGAAGGCACTGCCCTTGAAGCTTGACCACTTTGCGATGAAGTGTCTTTCTTCGGGAATACCTCCCTGAATTTCCCCTTGACTTTCCCCTTGATTTCTTTAGCGCGCTTCATGTTGGATATGTTGTGATGAAGATCGAGCAAGATTCCAGAGTTCAACACGGTGTCAGTGACTTTGGGCAGTATGAGCACACAGCCCTGAAGCCGACTGATTAGGAAAGTCCTTACGCAATAAGCGCTCGTTCTTGCAGTGGGTGTGTGCCCAAGCACAGGTACTCGATACGATCCGACGAGCAATGGACAGACCGCGGACGAACCGTTCATCACCTGCGAAGCTCTGGGGACTGCAGCCCCGTAGTGGCCCTGTATTGATCAACTGACTTCACGTAGAAGGACCGTTTTCTAGTTGGTTTATTAATAATATGTCTATCGCTTCGGCTCCCGTCGCTGCACAGGAAGACAACATGCGGTTTGCCTTCCTTTTTGTTTTATAATTTATTTTCTCTGCGAATCGGTCAGCGTGCGAAGCGGAAACTAGCGCGCTTGTCAAGTTCCCAACGTAAAGTTGTCAGTCGATACCTACACACTTAATCCAACCGTTGTTCAATCTCTGTGCATCGGTCTAACCTCAACCCACATCCATCTCTGCCAGACGCCTCGGATCAACCTAAATTTGGATTCAAATGGAACCCATTGGTGAATGAATGGAGGCATCGTGCCCTCGTGATTCATCAACCATGACGACTGTTCCTACGTAGCCTTATCCGCGTCATCCACTCCAACCAAAGCCCAGCAAAGCCCATTGACGCGATCCTCGGAGAATAGAGAACAGATTCTTCTTTATCACGCTCGATTCGTTGTATGAATGTCTGTCTCTGTTCTCCAATCCATATCCAATTGCCCAAGTCCTCCCGTCCCCAACCCACACATACACACCCCCACCCGCACCTACAAAGAACAGCCTTCCCCACGCCCGTCAAAATAACCCTCGCCTTCGCACCTAACAAGTTGCCTATAATCCACTTCTTACCTATCTTCAGCGTTCATCCCAGCACGCACGTACACACGCACCCACAAAGAACACGTCCCCAGGCCCATCGATCCTCCGCAACACACCCTCACTTTCCCTGGGTCACGTTCGGAACGACCCCAGTGTCCCGCCTATAAAAAGGTGGGAAGGTAGAGGCTCGAGATTGTGAAAGACCATGGTTGTGAATGCGTCGAGCGCTGACGTTCATCGCTGATTTCTTGAGGGTGAGTTTTTCGTCAACTTTGAGCTCGCGTTTTGGCGTTCCGATGTCCCATCATGAGTCATGGGTCGACTATTCACATTTTATCATTACCTCCGTATAGTCCACGTTTTTTTTAACATTTCCGAATTCTGCGACTGACGCTGCTCCCTTTGATATGAATTTCTCCGACGATCGATCGCCAGATGTGAAACTACGATCGGGTTGGGAGGGAGTAAAGAGATAAGGTCATTTGAGAGTCTTGGGCTCTCTGATCGTTAGGTGAGCAAACAAAGAAATTGCTAATCTCACGTCTTGTTTTTAAGAACTCATCTCGCTCAAAGCTTTCTGGGATTTATACTGAATGTTGCACTCTAAAGCCATGATGCCGAGTAGATCTTCTGGCGCGACTGTGGAACTTGTACCTCCACGAAACTATTGAAGCGCGAGATATATCCTACTTTCCCAACCGATTAATATACAAACGAGGGTCTGGACGCTACGAGTGGCATTTATGACAGAGGTCCTATGGTTCACCTGGGAGAGGTGAAGGGCAAGAGGGCTATTTTGCCGGATAGGAAAGATGTGGCGATGGTTCGGTTTGTGATATATGGGGTTGTTGATAAAGACGGGCCATACGAGGGTGGCTTTAATTTTCCTATGATGGCAAGTTATTTTTCAGACGAAGAACGGCGGCCGTCGGGCCGGATGGTAACTCAGATATCATAATTTCAGCTGCTCATGAACTCATCATGTCCACGGATAATGTTTGGGCAGTGGTAGCTCAACAGGGTAGGACGTGGATCACGCCGGAAGTGTTCAATGAGCATACCTTTGGGTCAACGAGTGTCATGCCTTGAGGAGCTCGGTTGCGTGTCCTCCTTTCCGCCTGAATGAGCGTAGTTTGGTCGTTGTCATATCAGATGGCCAAACTTTGTAATATGGGATTCAGGATGCACAAGTATCAGCCTCTATTTCAGTCTGTCTGTCAGCCCCCCGCGTTGGCAAGCACCAGCGCTGCTCGTGGCCTTGGTCCGAAGGCTCAACAATTTGTGGAGAATCGCGGGGCACATTACAATTGGCTGGATGAGCCTCGGTTAAATGGACGCCAAGGCACTTAGTCCAAATTTGGACCCGACCCCGCATAGACACATAATTCAGTTTGGCTTGCGGCGCCCAAGCCACCGAGTTCGGATGGAGTTGGATACTCTTAGTTTGGTGAAATTGGACATATCATATACGAGAACCTTATCACAAGTGGCTTTCTGGTCTTGCTTTCACCTGCATCTCGATCCTCGCTTTCTCAGAGAAGGGAAAACTGGGACCACACATCCAGCTTGAGGCCAACTATAAAGCGATCACGGTTCGCGCTTGCCAGCGAGTTCAACAAGTCAGATCACTTCAGCTCTGGCAATGGTGACTACCAAGGCACCAATGAGACACCTTCTCGTGGCGTTGTCCCTGTGTTGTTCAGCGTGTTCACTATCGCCCATCAGTCATCCTTCCTTGTATACGAGTACGCGGTGGCCGTTCCTCGCATCTTCTCATTGGAGGCGCGACGTTGCACGCCCCACCAACTTGACTGGACCCCAGGTTCAACTAGCTCAAGGCCTCGTCACAGGTGTTAGCGTGCCCCAATTCCGCCAGGATTATTTCCTGGGGATTCCCTATGCTCAGCCTCCATTGGGTGAGCTGAGGTTTTCTCAGCCTCGACCACCGAAAGTGAATCCGAGTCACAGAATAGACGCCACCGCTTACGGAAAAGCGTGTTTGCAACCGGTTAGCATTTTTTCCCCTCGTTTTCTTCCCCAAACTCTTGCGAATAATTTCGTTCTTTAGCTTTTCGGGGGTCTGACGGGCTTGACAACCTCTGACTTGTCGGAAGATTGTCTTTTCATCAATATCATCCGGCCTTCAAACCTGCCCCGCGGTACGAAACTTCCAGTGATGGTTTGGATTCATGGAGGGGCTTTTTACTTTGGTGCTTCACAACTGTTCAACGGCTCGGCGATCGTCGCCCAAAGCGTTCTCTTGGTAGTTACTTCCTTCCAGCATCTCAACCCCCCCATCTTCTGATATTGAACATTGTTGTGACAATATCTCGAACATTCAGAACGAACCTGTCATCTACGTCTCCCTCAATTATCGTCTAAACGCCTTTGGCTTCCTTGGCGCACCTGAACTGGCAAGCGACTCTACGACCGGAACGCTCAATGCTGGTTTACACGATATGATCAGTGCATTGAAATGGGTGCAGGAGAACATTGGTGCTTTCGGAGGAAACAAGAACCGAGTGATAGGTAATGAATTCTGATCGATTCGCGGTTACCATAATCTGAATTTAGTCTGTCAAGTGTTTGGTGAGTCGGCGGGTGCGATTGCGATTGGGACTCTCCTCGTTGCTGGAGGAGGACATTATGTGAAACATCACAACTTATTCCATGGTGCCATCATGGAGAGCGGGGCTCCAGCAGGGTAAATTTGTATCATCCATACCTTTGCTTCCTTTCTCAAGTCCCTTGTCTGATTATCATTCCATTTCCATCGCTAGTCTCCCCGTTCCTACTGTATCCGATCTCGTACCCTGGACAAATATCTTCACTACTGCAGCAGGCTGTCTTCCCTCCGATCCCTCCATCATATCATGCCTTCGTTCGAAACCGTCTGAGGTGCTTTACCAAGCTTCGCTCGTAACGTTGAACGCGACGACGGGCCTCGCACTCGTTTATAATCGAGTTGTGGACGGATTCTTTTTCCAGGAAGGGAAACGTGCGGCGGAAGAGGTAAGAAAGGGGAATGTAGCGGATGTGCCTATCATCACGGGGTGCAATCTCGACGAAGGAACGTTATTCGTACCTCATACGTTCAACACTGCGGACGAAATAGTGAATTTTTTCAGAGGTTCGTGCATGTGTGTTCCTTGACCATTTCTCTCCGCGGCGGGAGAAAAAATCAAATTGTGCAACGTCTCATCCTCCATAGTCTGCATATGGCTTACTTACACATTCATTTCCGGCTTTTTGGTTTTGTGCTTGTTCTGTTGCGGGGCTGCAGTAGGATTATTATACGTTGGAAACCTTAGCGTAGCGACGCCAGAACAAACGAAGCTCTTCAAAGGCCTTCTGGAGTTGTACCCCGATATTGCTGCGATCGGAAGTCCCTACGAGCCTGTCGGGGTGAGTAAAGACGATCGGTTCTTCGGGTCGAATAATCAGTATAAGAGAGCTGCGAGTTTGCTTGGGGATATTGTCTTTCACAGTGGTGCGTACCTATCTATTCCGAGTCTGATCGAATTTGGGGGTAGAATACATCCAATGGCGTTCATTTTTTCTTATCTAATGCGGGGAATTATATCATTCAGGTCGACGCGCATTGTTGGATGCGTATATTAAACACTTTGGTTTCTACCCAGCGTGGACATACCTTTATACCCAAGTGACTCCAGATACACCAGCGTACCAAGGTGTCTATCACGGAAGTGAGCTCCCGGCTGGTGAGTTTGCAGTTCAACCCCCCCCCCCCTCTTACCCTTCATCGCTGCCATAGCAGGTTTCTGATTAATTTTCACATGCCCCCCCTTCACTTTGAACTTTGCATCAATATCGGGCGGGTGGGCTATAAATCAGTATTTGGACTGTATGCTATACAGAATACAACCTCGGATCTGGGCAAAACGTCGTTAGTTATGATCAGCGCCTGGGTCACCTTTGCGAATTCTCTCGATCCTAACCGCCCATTCTGTGAGCACGCCCCTCGGTTCCCACTTCTTCGCTTCTGTTTCTTTTCTTACAAAGTTTTTCTTTCTGACTCATTGTTCTTTTGTGTTTGGTATGTGTGCGTGGCGGGCTCTTTCAAGTGCTGCCATTTTGGCCTAGGTACGGATGGGAACGTAACATGTTACGAATTGGGAATGGGCATTTCGATCTCATTAGGGATGATTTTCGAAAGGAAGGGATAGAGTTCTTGCAGAGGAAAGAGTTCACGGATGTGTTTAACTTTTGAGGCTCAGGTTGTTACAACTGGTCTCCTCGTCGATGGGTTTTGAGGAGACTAAGACCTGGTTGGTGGCCTAATCTGAATTTGGACTCAGGTGCTCCCCTTTTCTTGGGCAAGGCTGCGTGAATGCGCTGCGCTTAGTTTATAACCGATGGATAGTTTTTTTTCATTGGGGTTTTTTTTTTTAGTTCCACATTGCTGGAACTAAGGTTGAGTATATTCTTGCCGTTGACATCGTATCTAGCGCCTGATACGCTAGGTAATCACATTTAGATATTATTATTGGGACTGAACGTTTATATTCCAAATAATGTATGCGTTGGGATCATGACGTGACATACGGACGGACTCCTCGACCGTTCGATGACACCAATGGCATCCGTTCGATGTTTTCTAGAACGCGACCCGCCACAAATGTTCATCGTATCCATATGTATCACCCGTACATGTGAACTTCCCCCATATTGTGTTGTGCAGATGTACCGCAACGATGGACCAGGAGTACGAGCAAGCCAAAGAGGAGGCTGAGTAGGAGATATGATAAGAAGTAGAGCGACGAGGACAGGAGATGCGACAGGACGCATAGACGGCATCACAACTTATACAGACGACACACCCTGAAGACACAACCTTGAGGACTACATTATAGATATTACACAACAGGAAGTTCTTCTCCTATATGGACATATCACTTCCGATATAGTTTGGTCTTGCTTAGTACGCCGTGGTTTCATCTAGTGGATGGCTGCAGTGCATTACCACGAGGCCGGCTGCGGGGCTAGAGATCAATACCACCACAGAGACATGTATGGTGCGATCGACAGCGTCGCTGGAAATCGGGAGCAAGGAGTGCGTTCTTACATGTTGTCGAACTCAGACTCGTGACGTAGAACGACGAGTCATGGAAGACGTATTTTGAACTCTAGTGGGAGCCAACTTCCAAAACGCTGACATCCAAATTCCTAAGAATGGGGACCGCTGGACAACAGAGAGTCACATAAGGGAATGAGACAGCAGAGAGCCTTGGTGCTTACATAATATGTAAGCAATGGAGCCTCACTCCTCCGAATCCCCCAGAGGACACCGTCACCCCGACCCTACTAACCCGATGACACCCTGCGTTTGTAAAAGTCCCCTCATTAATGTAGTGAGATATGCCTCTCTGTCACGTGCTAACGAGACGGCGGGGTAAATACTGTACTAACAAATCTGATATCAACAACAACAACTCCTCGGAATCCCCGCCACCAATAAATTTTCGCCGCGGGTTCCGCGTCCGTATCGGCAATCTGACTAATCACACCACGCTAGGGTCACAGTCCGCAATGACTTCTGTGTCCCCTTTTGCTTCGTCGGGGAGAGCTCCGGTCACAGCACCAGCGAAAGCCCAGACGCTTAATATACGCCACTCTTTAACACAGAATGCTATCCACTGATACGCAGTGGCCTCTATTAGCGACATCACATCAGGACTAGCTATGGGGACTACTAAGACAGCGATGAGAAACGCTCTCCTCGTAATTTCCTCACTGTGCTATTCTGTTTTTTCACTACCACACGTCAGTTGTCCCTCCTTGTACGCTGGTGCGCGTCACTGACTGCGCGATGTCCCATCTCCCGCCAACTTGGCCGGACCTCAGGTTTAACTAGCTCAAGGCCTTGTCACCGGTCTCAGTGCGCCCCAATTCGGTCAGGATCAGGATTATGTTCTATGCTCAGCCTCCATGGGCAAATTGAGGTTTGCAAAGCCCCGACCACTAAATCCAAAACCAAATCACAAGATGGACGCCACCAAGTACGGAAAAGCATGTTTTCAACCGCTTGATGTGCGTCCCTTGTTCTCGTAGCGATTTTCCTTCCAGCTTTTGTGAATGATTCGTTTTTAGTTCGTCCCGGGCCTGACTTTTTGGATCTATGGAGGGAATTTTCTTTACGGTGCAGTCGCAACTATGTAATGGCTCGGCGATCGTTGGGCATACGAGTACTTCCTTCCGGCATCTCAGCCCCATTTTCTGACATAAATATGACGCTATTGTCACAATATTCAGAACGAATCTATCATCTACATTACCGTCTAAACGCCTTTGGTTTCCTTGGTGCTTACACCATATGATCAGTGCACTGAAATGGGCGCAAGAGAACATCGGAGCTTTTGGAGGAAACAAGGATCGAGTGACTGGTAAGTTCCTTCCTGATCGATTTGCAAATGACCAATGTGGACAACTGTCACCTGGCGAGTATCAATGTGTACGATAGAGTATTGTGCTCGCTGCCTCAAGATGAATGTCCAAAATGAATACCCAAGACCCAATGCCAGGCATGACACGCCACCCGACCTCACACTTTCGGCCGCGGAGCACACGTCAGACACACGGGAGTCCAGGCACATGAACTAAGCAGGACCCCAGCCTATATGATTTTGTAATATTATATCACAGGAACGCCCATTTCAATTTGATTTTCGGCCCGGGTGACATCAAGCCGCCAAATTGAACGGAAATGGTAGTCCTTGGACATTTGCTTATGTCAAAATCTTACCCTGGGGTTCAATGACACCTGAGCGAGCGGCATCAGAATTCAACGTCCCTCACTCCTGTGAATATACTCCAGTTGCCAATGGAGTTCTACTTTAGGGGAGGCTATTCGCCACGAGTTTTGCGTCCTTATCATCGGCAATAACCTACTTATGCTCGCTGATTTCCTTGTCCGCTTTTGCCTGCGTCTTAGTCCCCGGTACTTTTCAGAGACAGCTGCGGTCGCACTGCCAACGTGCAACATTTGCCATCCATACCCTGGAGTGCTGTCTAGTCATACGCAGTGGGCTCTATTACATCGGGACTAACGATGGGGACTACCAAGATGTCGATAAGAAACGCGCTCCTCGTAACTTTGTCATTGCTGCGCCATTCTGTGTTTTCACTGTCGTCCATCGGTCATCCTTCCATGTACGCGGGTGCGTGGTGGCTGTTACCCGCATCTTCTCACTGGCAACGCGACGTTCTATCCCCTCAAATCCAACTTCCCCAGGGTTTTGTCACAGGTCTTAGTGCGCCCCAATTCTGTCAGGATTATTTCCTGGGCATTCCGTACGCTCAGCCTCCATTGGGCAAGTTGAGGTTTGCGAAGCCCCAACCACTGGGACCGAATCCGAGTCATAAGGTAGACGCTACCCAGTACGGAAAAGCATGTTTTCAACCGCTTAATGTATGTCCCTTGTTCTCTAAGTGATTTCCTTCCGATTTTTGCCAACGATTTATTTTAGACCACCCCGATCATAACAGCTTCTGACTTGTCAGAAGATTGTCTTTTTGTCAATGTCTTTCGACCCTCGAACTTGCCCCATGGTGCGAAACTTCCTGTGATGGTTTGGATTCATGGAGGAGGTTTTGCTTTCGGTGCGTCGCAACTATACAATGGCTCGGTGATCGTCGAGCAAAGCGTTCATCTGGTACGAACGCTTCTTTCTAGCATCCTAGCCCCATTTTCTGACATATAAGGCGGTTGTGACGATGTTTGGATTAATTCAGAATGAATCTATCATCTACGTCTCCTTCAATTACCGTCTAAATGCTTTTGGTTTCCTCGCTGCTCCTCAACTGGCACACGCTTCTACCGGAACACTCAATGCCGGCTTGCATGATATGATTGGCGCATTGAAATGGGTACAGGAGAATATTGCTGCTTTTGGAGGAAACAAAGACCGAGTGACAGGTACGTTCTGTAGGAATTTGAAATTTCGTGAAATTTACGCCTATCAAGTGTTTGGTCAGTCGGCAGGTGCAGTTGGGATTGGATCTCTCCTTGTCGCTGGAGGTGGGCATTATGTGAAACAGCACAATCTATTCCATGGCGCCATTATGGAGAGTGGAGCTCCAGGAAGGTAAAAATCTCTTCTCCGATTCCCCAGTCCTTGATCTGATTATCATTCCATTCCATCCCTAGTGCCCCCGTTCTTACTGTGTCCGATGTCCTGCCCTGGACCGATATATTTGCTGCAGCGGCAGGCTGTCTTTCCTCAGATCCCTCGATCATATCATGTCTTCGTTCGAAACCTTCCGAGGTGCTTTACCATGCTTCACTCGTGACGTTAAATACGACAGACCCCGCATTTATTTTCAACCATGTGGTGGATGGGTTCTTTTTCGAGGAGGAGAAACGTGCCGCGGAAGAAGTAAGAAGGGGAAATGTAGCAGATGTCCCTATCATCACGGGGTGCAATCTCGACGAAGGGACGTTGTTCGTACCCCACACGTTCAACACTACGGACGAAATAGTGAATTATTTCCGAGGTTCGTGTTCCTTGACCATTTCCTGCAATTCTTCCCGTGGAGAATGCTGTACTGTAGACACTTACTTTCTGTTTGCCTTGTCTGGCGCGGAATTTTTCTACCTCGGGAACCTTAGTGTGGCGACGTCAGAACAAAGGAGGCTTTTCAAGGGCCTTCTGGGGCTATACCCCGATATTCCCGCAATCGGAAGTCCCTATGATCCTGTCGGGGTAAGTAAAGACGATCGGTTCTTTGGGCCCAATAATCAATACAAGAGAGCCGCGAGTTTATTTGGGGATGTCGTCTTCCACAGCGGTGCGTGACATCTACTCCGATCGAATCTTTGAGGGGAACGCTTGAAACAACAACAAATGGTGTTAATTTTTGTCTAATGTGGGGAATTATATAGGTCGACGCGCATTGTTGGATGCGTATATTCGGCGCTTTGTGTTCTACCCGGCATGGACATACCTGTATACTCAAGTGACTTCAGAAGAACCAGTGTACGATGGTGTTTTTCACGGAAGTGAGATTCCAGCTGGTGAGTTTGCAGTGACTTCTCCCAACCCCTCATCGCAGGACAATTCTGATTTTTTGTACCTGTTAATCACGGTTGACAGTATTTGGCCTGTATGCCGTCCAGAATGGGACCACCGTTCTGGGCACAACCTCGTTATATTTGATGAAGGCCTGGGTCGCCTTCGCGAATTCCTTCGATCCCAACCGCCCATCTTGTAAGTATTTCTCCTAACGCCTTCACTTCAGATTTGTCTCCAGAAGGACTGACCCATTACTCATTTGTTTTTGTATGATGACTAGTGCCAAATTGGCCCAAGTATGGAAAGCAACGCCACATGTTGCAGATAGGGAATGGGCACTTCGATGTCATCACTGATGATTTCCGAAAGAAGGGAATAGAATTCTTGCAGAAGAAGGACTTTACGGACACGTTTAATTTCTAAAAGGTGTGCCTGTTGTTTTGTGACTGGACTAATCCACCTGAAAGTCGAGATGTCTGACGTGCGACTCGGACAGTCTCGATTAAATAATGTCAAGTTCCTTTTTGGGGCTTGACACTCTTCTGTGTGTCTCTCGTAAACGACAGAGATTTTCTTATCGAGTCATTTTAAGACGTTGCTAGTGCATTTCATTTGGAGTTGAGATATTACCATTGGCTCTAGGTTCTCATATATGTAATCTAGATTTGTATCCGTGGCCAGAGGCACAGGAACCAGTTCAGGATGTCGAAAGCCAAGACCCTGCCACATCAGATTAAATGGGAATGATGCTTACATTTGGCGAAAATCGCAATATACAACTCTTACCCTGGGGTTCAATGACATCTGGAGTAAACAGCGTCCAAATTCGCCTCCGTGCACCTCAGTTCAACCCAACCCATTAACCGATAGGGTGTTGCCATGGGCTCCGCATCCTTATCAACTCCCTCGCCTGCTTTTAGCATGACCTCTAGCTCCACTTCGTCAAAGAGAACTGCGGTCTTTGACCCCGTTTTTCATTTGTTATCCATACCCCCCACCGATAGACAGCGGCCTCGGCAAGCCACATCACATCAGGGCTGATAATGGGGGCTACTAAGACGGCGAGAAACGCTTTCCTCGTGATTTCCTCACTGTGCTATTCTGTGTTTTCATTGCCGCCCATCGATCATCCTTCCTTGCACACACCTCGGGTTCAACTAGCTCAAGGACTCGTTACAGGCCTTCGTTCACCCCAGTTCCGTCAGGATTATTTTTTGGGCATTCCGTATGCTCAGCCTCCATTGGGCAAGCTGAGGTTTGCGAAGCCCCAACCACTGAAACCACGTCCGAGTCATACGGTAGATGCCATCAAGTACGGAAAAGCATGTTTACAGCCGCTTAGTGTATGTCCTTCGTCCTCATATTGATTCCCCTTCAACTTTTGCGGATGATCTGTTTCTAGACCCTGAATCTAACGGCTTCTGACATGTCAGAAGACTGTCTTTTCATTAATGTCCTCCGACCCTCAAACTTACCCCATGGTGCGAAACTTCCTGTGATGGTTTGGATTTATGGAGGAGGCAACACTTTCGGTGCATCGCAACTATATAATGGCTCGGTGATCGTCAAGCAAAGCGTTTTTCTGGTTTGAGTACTTCCTTCCGCCATCTCAGCCCTAATTTTCTGATATGTAATGCTGTTTGGATTGTTCAGAATGAATCTGTCATCTATGTGTCCTTCAATTACCGTCTAATGTCGTTTGGTTTCCTTGCTGCTCCTGAACTGGCACATGCTTCTACCACCGGAACGCTCAATGCTGGCCTACATGATATGGTCGGCGCTTTGAAATGGGTCCAGGAGAACATTGCTGCTTTCGGAGGAAACAAGGACCTAGTGACAGGTTAGTTCTTGCTCTAGCAATATGGATTTGGGGTTTACACCTGTCCAGTGTTTGGTGAGTCGGCGGGTGCGGTTGGGATTGGATCTCTCCTCCTTGCTGGAGGTGGTCGATATGTGAAACAGCACAATTTATTCCATGGTGCCGTTATGGAGAGCGGATCTCCATCAAGGTACCATCATTCGACTTTCTCTAGTTTTCCATCTGATTCTCGTCTCATTTTATTACCAGTATCTCTATTCCCCTTGTATCTGACGTCTTTCCCTGGACAAATATCTTTGTCGCAGTAGCAGGTTGTCTTCCCTTCAATACCTCAGTCATATCATGTCTTCGTTCGAAACCCTCTGAGGTGCTTTACCAAGCCTCACTCGCGGCGTTAAATACGACGGACCCTGCACTTGCTTTCACCGGAGTAGTGGATGGGTTCTTTTTCAAGGGGGGGATCCGTGCGGCAGAAGCAGTGAGACGGGGTTATGTAGCGAATGTGCCTATCATCACCGGGTGTAATCTCGACGAAGGGACGTTATTAGTTCCCCATACGTTCAACAACACCGATCAAATGGTGAATTTTTTCAGAGGTCCGTGTTTCTTGAAAATTTCTCCGCCAGAAAAACGTTGTATTATCCAAACACTTACGTTGCTCCTATCCCGTTTGTCTTGTCGCTGCAGAATGGTTTTACGTTGGGAATCTTAGTGTGAAGCAAACGAAGCTCTTCAAGGGCCTTCTGGAGTTATACCCCGATATTCCGGCAATTGGAAGTCCCTATGATCCGGTTGGAGTGAGTAAGAACGATCGGTTCTTTGGGCCAAATAATCAATTCAAGAGGGCTGCGAGTTTGTTCGGGGACATTGTCCTCCACAGCGGTGTGTATTGTCTACTCTGACTGTCGGGAGAACTCTTGGAACAATGAATGCTTACCGATGGGGCCGGTTTTTGCCTGATGTGGGGAATTATATAGGTCGGCGTGCACTCCTGGATGCGTATCTCAGGCGTGGTGCACATTATCCGGCATGGACATACCTTTATACTCAGGTGATTCCAGGAGTACCGGTATACTTAGGTGCCTTTCACGGGAGTGAGCTTCCGTCCGGTGAGCCTCTTCCCAATGTTTTACCGAGGGTTCTGATTTTTTCGTATCCTCATTCGACATCGATCGCGCTGCTAGTATTTGGCATGCACACCATCTATGATTGGAACCCAGTTCTGGGTACGACTTCATCGTACATGATCAGCGCCTGGGTCGCCTTTGCAAATTCCCTGGATCCTAACCGCCCGTACTGTGAGCGTTTCCCCTACCCCTTCACTTCCGATTCATTTCCAGGAGAACTGACCCATTTACTGTTGCTTTTGTGTGCTGACATAGTGCGTAATTGGCCCAAGTACGGAGAGCAACACCACATATTACAGATTGGGAATGGGCACTTCGATGTCATCACTGATGATTTCCGGAAGAAGGGAATAGAGTTCTTCCAGAGGAAGGACTTCACGGACGCGTTTAATTTCTAAAGGTGTACAAATTGTCCTCTGACTGGACTGATCCACCGTGTGCATGATGTTGAAAGTCGAAATGTCTGGCATGCAACTTGGGATCTGAATTGATTAATGTCAAGTTCCGTTCTGGAGTTTGATACTCTTCTGAGGTCCTTGCGCATAACTTGTGATCAATGGGAAATTCTCTTGACGAATTTCTTCTATTTCCCTGCAGCCCATATTATATTCCAGTTGGAGCCGAAGTGAGATTTCTCGCAAACACTCGGGTTGACATGAGTTGGCTCTGATCTGGTGCCCGTATGCTAGATTCTCAATGATTAACCTACATGTATGGACAGCCTCTTGTCTCACCAGCCCATTCGACGTTCAGACACTACAAACATTATATTCATATCACCAGTATGCCAGAAGGTCTTTGAAGAGCATCGTTTGTTCTGGCATCGCTACGCTAAGGTTTCCAACGTATAACAATCCTACTGCGGCCCCACGACGGAACAAGCACAAAAGCAAAAAGTCGGAAACGAATGTGTAAGTAGGCCATATGCAGACTATGGAGGATGAGACGTTTCAATTTGGTGTTTTCTCCCACTGTGGAGAGAAATGGTCAAGGAACACATATGCACGAACCTCTGAGAAGAATACACTATTTCGTGCGCAGTGTTAAACGTGAGGTACGAATAATGTTCCTTCGTCGAGATTGCACCCCATGATGATAGGCATATCTGCTACATTCCCCTTTCTGACCTCTTCCACCACATGTTTCCCTTCCTGGAAAAAGAATCCGTCCACCACTCGATTGTAAACAAGTACGAAGTCCATCGTCGCATTTAACGTTACGAGCGAAGCTTGGTAAAGCACCTCAACCGGTTTCGAAGGCATGATACGATCGAGGGATCGGAGGGAAGACAGCCTGGTGTGGTAGTGAAGATATTTGTCCAGGGCACGAGATCAGATACAGTGGGAACGGGGAGACTAGCGATAGAAATGGAATGATAATTAGACAAGGGACTCGGAAATCGGGAAGAAAGAAAGCAAAGTATGGATGCTTCAAATTTACCCTGCTGGAGCCCCACTCTCCATGATGGCACCATGAAATAAGTTGTGAGGTTTCACATAATGTCCTCCAGCAACGAGGAGAGTCCCAATTGCAATTGCACCTGCCGATTCACCAAACACTTGACAGACCAAATTCAGATTGTAACCGCGAATCGATCGGAATTCAATACCTATCACTCGATTCTTGTTGCCTCCGAAAGTGCCAATGTTTTCCTGCACCCATTTAAATGCACTGATCATATTGTGTAAACCAGCATTGAGTGTTCCGGTCGTAGACTCGCCTGCCAGTTCAGGGGCGCCGAGGAAGCCAAAGGCATTTGGACGATAATTGAAAGAGACATAGATGATGGGTTCGTTCTGAATGTCCGAAACATTGTCACAACAACGTTAAATGTCAGAAGCTGAGGGGCCGAGATGCTGGAAGGAACTACTTACTACTCATACTGTACTCACACGACCAAGAACCTGTCACGCGTCACGCAGGCCTAGCGGTTCATTTGTCCGGTGTCACGCCATTTGAGTAGAATTGGATGGCTGTGCAGATTTTCAATTCAAAATTTCCTAAATTAGCAACTATAGAGTCAAAAACAGTACATTTCCATCTCTTTTTCTAGATCCCTCGTCCATCTCACCTGTTTACCCTGTCCCAACCCATTGCTATCAACTTCGGACTCAATTGCCACACTGACTTCTCTGATGGTCTCTGAATCATGCTCTTCAGCCGCAGTTAAACCTGACTGAAGGCCACCATCCACCTTGGCAAGCCCATTGGGTAAGGTTTCACCATTGAGATGTTGGCAAACTTCCTCCAATGTCACCTCTATGTCATCCTCCAGGACATCCGAGAATGGTTCTTCATGTATTGCTGAATTAGAGCTAGGATGAACTTGAATCGCATTCTGATTGGCAGGGCACTTGTGAGGTCTTTGGGTAGCTCAGCACACAAGGCCGTAAGTGATACAAGTATGTGTATTTTACGGTGGTGTGTAAGCAGTTACCCGGAGGTTCCTGCTTGCCCACATGACTATATGTATCTAATTTACATGTGGCTCGGGGTTCAGGGCTATTGCCCTGACATTCTCCCCCCTTGCATTGCATTTGTGACGCATACAAGGTTGATAGTGAATAAAACAAAGTTTTTTAATAATTGATTTACATTGAGTTTGGAATTATCAATGAGTGTTTTGTTGTCGCCACTTTAAAGTGGGCGATTTTGTACATGTCAGTGAAGGAGAGAGAGAGGGTTTAAGGAATAAATGAGTGTGGGCCATTACTTTGAAGTGAACGGCGATACATTGGTATCGCAGGGAAAAAAAATGGTGGAGTTTGTCGAAAATGAATTTTGACCCAAAGGTTGTATGTCTTTGGTGTTCCTCACTTGTTCCGTGAGGGTTCGTGTGTAAGTGGTGTTTACACACGAGCGGTGGTGGATGTGGGTCTTTTTGACGGAGTGGAGATTTCTGCAATTGTTACTTGCGGTTCCTTGCATACAGTATTGTGTGCGGGGCCTCGAGTTGGGGGAAGGTGTTTTCATGGGTGCCTCGATGGTGTATTACCATGTCACTTTCCCTTTTCTCGAGGGTGGAGTCATTGCCCCGGAGGAGGGTTTTCCTCCGGGTTGTTCATCTGGACATCCAATTGCTGCATCGGATGCAATGACGTAGCCTGGGCTACATTGTCGGGCTGTGGGCTTGACAAAGTGGGCGCTCCCTGGGTGGGAGCGGGTTGTTGTGTTCCTGAGCTACTTGGCTCAGGTGTAGAGTACGGTAGGTCTACCGTTCTTCCCGTGGGGAAGGGTGGTCGTTGGGCTGGTTGTCCAGCACGGAGACTTGCATCTCTTTCCCGGTATTTGGAAGCTTTTGCTTCCTGTTCCACAGTTCTTGCAGCACGTTCCTCAGGAGTCCTGAGTGGTTTGAACTGGGACTTTAGATAGGCGGCTTTGCCTAGACTTTCCCAGGAGATTTTTCCCTTATTCTCCAGGGAATTATACTCCTCTGCAAGTCTTGCGATACTCGGGAGTCCCAAGAAGTATTTCTCAGTTTCCTTCACTTTTTCGCAAAGGGTTCTGTGTACCTTGCCGCTTTTGAAGGCAGCTTTGGCCTGTTTGTACCAGTGTACAAATTCTTTCCCACTCACGCTTGTCCACCAAGCATATGCGGTGTCGTGCACCGCTTCTGACCCCGCTATTCTCCTCATGGGGAAGTTGGGGTCGATTGTTACGTCGACTGGAGCTTCAACTTTGCTGAACTTGTTGAGTTTGGCGGTCTCGTATAGCATGTGGACACTTCCCTGCAGGGTAGCTTGCCCATAGGGTGCTGAGGTACTCAGCGACCCACCGCCTCTGGCAGTGGTCCCCGTTTTAGGGTCTGCCATCGGTTGCCTACCGCTCTCCCTCTTCCCCTCGACATGGGTTTGCCCTTCTGAGGGCGGGCCCTTATGCAACCCGGACAGGGTCGCCTGCCCACGGGGTGGCGGGATAGTCGGTGCCCCACCCCTTGATGTGCTAGTCCCCATGTGGGGTCATGCCTCATGAGGCCCGGAACCGTATCCCCTCCCCCTGACCTGGGAGGCCCCCGTCATGATGGGTTTGGCAGCGAGGTCTGCCAGTGCACGTGCTTCTCTGAGCTTGCATTTCAGTAACTCAATCTCCCTTTTTTGGAGATCGACTTCTCTCTCTGTGTCTTTCAGAGAGTCAAAGATGCCCTCAGCATCTCTTCGTGCTCTGTTGTATTCGCACCTCCAGTGGGCGCAATGGTCGCAGGCGTCTTCTGATGCCCTCGAGTTATCAGACCATGCCCGTTTGGATGGTCTGGACAAGGAGCTGCTGTCGCTCCCTCGTCTCCCTCCTATGAGGGACTTCATCTCTTTCAGCTCCTCGCAGAGCTGACCTGTCTGAGCAGCTACCGCTGACGCAATGGCTGATTCCCAGCCTGCATTTGGCTGGGGTGTTGTTGGACCTGGGCCGAATTGGCCAATCCAGGGGTTGATCTGGCCAGGGAAGTTCCCTGGGGAGTATGCCTGGGGCTGCAGCAGCAAATGCTGCCCCTGGAATGGCGCTTGTTGCGCCATCGGTGCAGTTTGCACTGCGTATGGTTGGAAGCCCCTCTGAGGAGGCTGGGGGTATGCAGTGCCTGTTAGCAACGCGGATGGTTGTTGGTTTGCGGCACTCATTTGTGCTGCGTGCGTTGTGTAGTCCATGGCACTTATCTGCACCTGGTGTTGTTGTTGTTCCAGGGAGCCTTGCTCCCCGGGTTGTCATATTTCAATATCCGGTGGCTTGTTTGGATTGAACCGAGGGTTGCCTCCCCCAGAGAATGACATTTCGTCATTATGTTTCTTGTGGTGGTGGGAGGGGTTTTCATTCTTGCGTGTGTGGGATTCACCGCAGTTGTGTGTTCTTTTGCACGTGAGCCTGTGGTTCATGTGGTCTAGGCGAGTTACTTGCCCAGAACTTTCCCACGCTCTTGGCTGTGGGCCATCGTCCCTTGGCTTTACTTCCTCTGCCTCTGTTTTTGGGGGTGTAGTGATGCCGAGAGTCCCCTGTCTTCTTTGATAGGGAGTTTTTCTGGTTCCCTTACATTTTGTAAGGTGAGGTACTCATCCAGGTGGACGAGGTCGTTGCAATTTCCTAGGGGTTCCCATTTGACCTTAAACCAGAGTTTGTTGTGAACCCACGCGTGGTTTAGGATTTTGCAAACTACTGCTTTGCGATCGGGGTCTTCCCCAAAATCGTAGAATATGTTTACTTCCCTATTTGGGAAGATTTCCTGGTCATTTGGCTCATGAGGTATGAGCTGGGATATGTGGAATCTTGGGTGGATTCTGCATTGTTCAAGTTGTGGTGGCAACTTGAGGACGTAGTTTGACATCTCTGGAAATGTTTCCAGAATTTCGTAAGGCCCTATGTATAAGGGCTATAGTTTTCCTGCCCTCCCTTTGGGTAGGTTCAGCTTATCCGTGGATAAGTATGCAAGCTCGCCTTTTCTCAAAGCCAGGTCCGGGCGTCTTTTCTTATTCGCCTGGATTGTTTGAGCAGCACGATTGTGTATTATTGCGTCATGTGCTGCCATGAGGTTTTCCTTCGCTTTTTGGGAAAAGTCATTTACTCCTGGGTAGTCCGAGAGTGGTGCTGTTAGGCACATCTTTGGCATATGGCTGTAGATTAATTCAAACGGGGCAAATCCTGTCGATGTGTTTGAGCTTGCATTGATCGTGAATTCCGCCATCGACAGTTTCGCTGCCCAGTCACGTTGATCTGGTCTAACCATCATGCATAGTATTTGTACTACTTTTTGTATCATTCTTTCCGCTTGGCCATTGCCTTGCAGGTGGAATGCAGTTGTGGATTTCAACTGCACACCGAGTATTCGGTGTAGTTCGTGCCAAAATTTTGATGTGAATTTCGAGTCTCGATCTGATATGATCGAGTGTGGTAGACTGTGGAGTCTTACAACTTCACAAAGAAATACCAATGCTAGTTCTAGTGCGTTCGTTGTTGTCTTTATTGGATGTTGGACGTCAACCTACAAATGATTACCCAGAGGTAATCATATCCCAAGCTTGTTGGGAATGGACCTGTGAAGTCCATGGCTATTGACGACCATGGTGTCTCCGGGGTCGGGAGTGGGTGAAGCATTCTGGGATTTCTCCTGGTGCTTTTCTTTGTCGTTTGACAAGTTCCGCAAGACCTGCAGAACTTGTGGGTATCCTTCCTCATCGACTTCCACCAGAAGTGTCGACGGAGGGTTTCCACTGTTTTCTTGGATCCTAGGTGTCCAAGTGTTTCGTGGATGTTCTCGAGGATTATTCCTCGAATGGACTTCCTTTCATAGTTCCCTTTCGGAACTACTATTTGGGTCGTCCCTCCTTCTCCAAGTCGGGTTATCAGCCCATCTTTTACAGAGAAGTTTTTGAAATTCCCCGGGTTCTCTAGGATTTCCCGGTGGATCTGGCTTTTCGAGTATCCAGATTTTATTGCCTCAATGAGGTCTTTTTCTTCGAATTGTTTTTGAAGGTTCTCTTCTGGAATTATGATTTCTTCCAGATTTTGGGCACTCCCCCCTAGAGCTTCCTCTAGGGTATTTCTCACATGTATCGCTGCGAGTCTCTTTCTCTCTGAGTTTTTACTCAGGGTACTGCTTAGTAGCAGTTCTTCGTATTCCTCGATTCTGTCAGGGATAATGTCTTCTGCATTTTTGTCCAGGTGGATGTCCACCGACACATAGTCATTGAAATGCAGATCCTCGTCTGTTGACGAGTCGTAGTATCGTGAGAGTGCATCTGCCACTTTGTTCTTGTGGCCTTCCATGTATTTTATTTCGCAATTGAAGCTTGCGAAAAAGGCTTGCCATCTCAGGTGTCTACCTGAGTTGTGGTTTTTCGCTTTGAAATATTCCAAAGCTTTGTGGTCCGTGATTACTGTGAATTCACGGCCTCCCATGAGGTCGTCTTGCCATCTCATGAGTGCTTCGAGGACACGCAGTGCCTCGAGCTTGTAGGCGAAGTACCTATGTTGTGTGTTGGTGAACTTTTTGGACATGAATGCGGCCGGGCGGCAAGTCTGCCACCTTTCGCCTTGTCCAATTAATGCACCCATGCCCGCTGGGCATGTGTCTGTTATGACCCAGACGTGGAGTTTGGTCCTCTCTTCTTCTGAGAGGCTTTCTGGTGGGTTCCACTGGACGGGCTTCAGGATTGGAGCCCTGCATGCTAGATGTTTGATCTCATCAAAGCATTTCTGGTGGAGTGGTGTCCACCTGAATGTCTGCTTGTTTGAGCAGATTGTTTGCAGTGATCCTGTGTAACCACTGACATTTGGCATGAATATCGATAGATATTCTACCATTCCCAGGAATCTTAGGACTCCTGTGTGGTCTACTGGCTCTCGCCAGTTGCGGATTTTTTCCATTTTATCCGCTTAAGTGTGGATGCCCTGTTCGTCCACATGGCTTCCTAGAACGTCTAGGATTGGGGCAAATGGCTGGAATTTTTTCCGGCTTATGTAGAATTTCGCCCCTTTTAGGCGAGTGAACAACCACAATAGTGCTTTATTGTGGTTTTCCACTGAGCTTGTGCTGGTGAATATATTGTCGAACCAGATGTGTAGGCGTTGTAGGAGAAATAACGGCCACACTATGGAAACCCATTATGGAAATATGCCAGATAAATCACAAAAACCTCATACGACAAATAGATATGAGAACATAGAAGGACCTGAATTTTAACGAATTTTACGAATTTTTACGAATTATTATGACTATACACGATAAATCGAAAGAAAGAAAAATAACAAAAATACTTCAAGCTTACCATCAACGAGACGGAATTCTCGGGGGAATTTATAGCAAATATTAAACCAAGAATTAGGACAATCGACCAAGATTTGACTATAAAAATAATCAGAGAACCTCCACGGAAACTACTTTCCCATGTCCGCACACGTAGCAAGGATGGAAGTACCACGGAACAAAGATTCCTCAGGAACTAATGCAAAAGTCAAAGTCGTGTTTATAATAGGAAATGTAGATGTCCCCCAAACGGAACCAATGAGAGTAATTACAGGGGAAACTACCCATAAACGACGGAGATATGACTAAAACTCCTGCAAAACGAGGACAATGTCTAAAAAGCAAGCGCGAAGATTAACTAGTAACGACCGAGACAAGCTTGATAGCCCATTAGAAAGGAAGGGATCTACTCTTAATCCTCCCAAATTTCCATAATAAAAGGATCATGCGTTAATGAGAAATCCAATAACGGGAATAGCAACATCAAAAGTCCGAGCTCAGGGACAAGACGATGATTGCGTAGGATCCATAATTAAAACATACAACGAAATTTACACGGAAATTATGAAAAATAGGAAACTATAGCTATGCAAATTCTCAGCCCAAACGGTCCAGCCGTTGTGAAGTTATACCCATGACGGGAATATAGGAATCCGCATCATGTGTAATGACACGTGAGGGTGGCGATGCGCAGGGAACCGGCCGTCGGAACCGAGATCCGCACTTCGGCAGATCGCGAAGACCAATTTCCGTCCAAATAAGGAAGAGCCCGGTCAAAACAAAGCACGGAAAGTGCAAAACAACCTTAGAACATGAGGGAAAAATCTGAAATAAATCACAGAAGCCCATATGAAAGAAATAAACACCCGCGCATATCATAAATCCCGAACAACTAAACGAAAACGGCTCCCGCATACGAACAACTATGGGAACGACGCACGTGATTACCGAATGTGCGCGCGAAACTTTGCTAACTCAACGAATACAGGGAAATAGGACACAACCTTAGTACCATTGGAAAGGTGGGAATAAATGAAAATTTATGATACCAAGAACGTGAGAAAACATCCAGAAATGAATGAGATACAAGGACATGAAGTTAGAAACCTGAAAACACGCGGGAAGACAGCTTCAAGAGGTCTAGAGCCCTAAATAAAATACATAAAAATATGATATCTTCGAGGACGACCTACTATAACAACGAACAATACATATGGAGGATTAGGATGTGATAATACAAAGGGGAATCAGGGAATATGAACGAAATTCACGAAAACTACTAAACTACGACGGACCATGGCGGGAATTTTAGGGAACGATGTTCTAATGAAGTAGAGAGCTATAACACATTCGTTTGAGTAATTCTTGATTACTAGCAACTTTTTCTTTCAGTTTTAAACCTGAATAATTCACTCATTTATCATTTCAGTCTCATTTTAACTAAATGTCACTAAATAAAATTGGAATAAATCAGCTGAAGGTCTCAGCACAGTCGCACGCATAGTAATGCGAGGTTTGAATTCAGTATGACCGAGTCATAGCAAACTTAATGGGAAATATGGGGAATTTGAAATAGGGAACTGCGGCAAATGCGGCGCAGACAAATTCCAATTAACCATTAAAATAGCTTAGGCGAGGAAGGACAATAAGGATTCCAGGCGCAGTCTGACTGCAGTAGAGCCGCAGTTCAGCGCAGCAAAGCGCAGTGGAACTATAGCGTGAAAATTTCACTTTTTATTCAGTTTGGGAAAAATACACTGTAAATAAATCCTGTAAATAGAAGGTAGAGCGTGAAAAAGGAAGGCGACCCAAGGAGTATAAAAGGGAGACCCTTTCTGCGACTTTTCGCCCCCTTAGAGAAGTAAGAAAATAGAGTATTATTTTTCTCAAGCATTTCTGGTTGTCACTCCAGTGCGAAAAAGTGATATACAGTTAAGATTGCCACTGTAGTAAAAGGCAGCAATTAAGGAGAGAAATATTAAGTAGATATTTCAACAGGAGAGCTGGTTAACACTCCAGATTTCAAAGTGTAAACACAAAACAGTTATTTTGCTACTGTTAAAACAAGCAATAAAATAAGACAAAAATAAAACAAACTCAAGGGACACTCCAGACATAATCCAAATTCATTAACTAAATAGAATCTTTGAAACTTCACCAAGTAGAAGATTAAATTCAAGTTTAAAATCCAAATTAAACAACGCTACACAGAATTACACCTAGACAAATTAAGAAATTTCAATAAAGAAACAGCTCCGCAGGGCTCGGTTTATCTGTAAGTCAATTCCCAGGAACTTTAAAACTAACCCATAAAAATAGAATTAGCCAAAACACTCGGATTGGTACTTTATTTACAATAAATAACACTAGTACACTTCCCCATCCTAACTAAAGAACCAGGGAACAGCTTGGTGGTGGTCTCGTTTGAACCTCCCAACTGACTTTCCTTTGTTCTCTCCTTCAACGGAAAGGCAGGCAATAACCCAGAAGCGGAAAGGAGGGATAGGCCTGAAGGTGGGCTCTGCAGGGCAAGCGAGTGTATTGCCCAGCGGAGGTGGGAATGCGCTAGCGGACGTCAGAGCTGTCCGGAAACCTTCGGGGCTCCGTACTTAGGGAGGCATAGGTAATAAATTGAAAGGAGGGGGTGGTGACCATCGAGGGGTACTGAGGGGATTGCGGAATACGGGAGCTCCGAGGTTAGTGAAGAAGGAGTGGAGGTAGACCGGAGGGATTGGAAGGATCGGAAGTCGATGGCCAGGGATGGATATGACAAAGGTGTTGTACCTCAAGTGGAGATATGAGTCTGGCTGTCAGGTTCGTTTTTTCCACATCACTTTGTAAGATCTCGATGTGGTGAGTAATGTCAGTTGTGGCCAGGCATGAGGTAGAAAGGTATCGCATTAAGACACCAACGGCACTCCTTCCAATCCTTGAAAACCCTCGGATCTCATCATTCCATTGGCATGAGGTGAGTCTCTGCTGTGCTGCACTTATTGCACACTGCTGACTAGGCCATTGCATTGCTAGGCACCCCATCCATCTGAGTCCACCTTTGTTCTGAAGATCCCATAGCCGGAGGTGAACTCTCCAAATTTCAAGAATGACAATTGGGATGCAATATGAACCAATCTCAACTGAGGTAAGTGAGTTCTCGTCATCTATGTCAAACTCTGCGATGAGCTTTTTCATATCATGTTGGCTAGGATGATCCACCAAGCGAATGTCAGTTTCTGAGAGAATATTTGTAGATGGCGGTTTGTTGCTGAGGCATGAGCTTGGGCCCTTTATGCAGGTTTGAAGGGGAGGAAGCTTGAATGAAATAAATTCTTTGATTGTCAGGGTTTCATGGGGGAAGTAGGGTCCGATGAGAAATGTAGGGATATTGTTGTATGCGATGGTTTCCTCAGCACAGGAAGCAATATGGTTGGCAAGAGTAAATCCATCCATTTTTTACCGAGCAGAAAAATTGGAACAGGTGGACAGCAAAACACGAGATTTTTTTTTCATATCAAATATTCTCAATTTACCTCGGACTTAGGACTGAAAGCCCATCACCTGGGCACTGCCAGACTAGGTTTGTCACGCTTTTCTGACCTTGGCAGTTGGCTGTCACGCATTACATCAGCTTTGCAGTTGCGATGTCCAGGGTAAATCTCTGTCATGCTCCCAACCCATGCAGTTGTTGGTCATGTGAGTACAGTACCAGGAGAACACTTTGGGCGACAATCGCTGAGCCATTAAACAGTTGTGAAGCACCAAAGTAAAAAGCCCCTCCATGAATCCAAACCATCACTGGAAGTTTCGTACCACAGGGCAGGTTTGAAGGCTGGACAATATTGATGAAAAGACAATCTTCCGACAAGTCAGAGGTTGTCAAGTCCACTAGAGCCCCAAAAAGCTAAAGAACAAATCGTTTGTTGGAATATCAACGCTCATCGACAACAGCTGAGCTGCAGCGAGGATTGGGGAGTTTTTTCTTTAACTTAATATCATCGTGGCTAACTGTCACGACCCAGCAATTCCCATGGTCAGGTGATCACTCCCCACATCTTCTCCCTCCCCCACTTCGACCCCGTCAACCCCGCTGCCCACCTGACGCTGCCTGAACAAGCCCGTCACCCTTCCCCATCACTGCTACCTGTTTCCACAGCCCGTCACGGGCCTACAAGTCTTTCCTTATCACGCTTGTTTATCTTGACGGCCGTGCACGGCCATCCTTCTCCCACACTCTTTGTTTGTTTTTGTTCCTTCTTAACCCCACCCGCAATCTCCGTGAGATCTGGCAACTTATTCCTATTCATTCCGTTATACTTAAATACCGGTTGTATGCTACCTCGTACTTTAGTTCGAAAATCAACTAGGGTTACCCCCTGCACTCTCTGTCTGACCCAGTCGCACCTCCTGCCTCCTGAAATATCGGGGCCGCGTCAAGTACGAGGCACAACACTCACAAACGAGTCATTGAAGCCGAAACCCCTTTCTGCCGCGATTGTCATCCCCGCCCTTGATGGGCTGTTACGCCGAAGCAGCGGACCTTAACGGTCGCTGACGGCGAGTCACGGTAACGTTTTCCCATGCCCTGACACTAACAACGACTATATCCCTTTTGTTTCAGAGTTGCAATACCACACGCTCCCAATTTTTCTTTTGTCTTATATCGCCAGTTGACACTGGCAATTGCTTTAAGCGATATTCGTGCCAGTTGTATAAGTTATGCTGGACACTGTAATTTTTCTCCCTCCCTCAGTTCTCCATTACAAGACTGAGGTGATACCATTTCCCTCCTATCTGTGTTTGCGCATAACTCATTGTATTTTCATGTTACAGTTATGCATGATAGGTGAAATATCTTAATACATTAGTTCTCCATTACAAGACTGAGTTACACATGATAGCTCCTATTTCATTAGGTTGTGATCCCAGCTATGGCCACCTCAAATGATAGTTCTAAGAATATTTACAACATCGAGAAATTAAAGAATGATGGTTGTAACTATCAAATGTGGTCTATTCGCTGCCACATGATTCTCATCGACAGAGCACTCTGGGAATTTGTCAATCCCAGTTCCAAAACCTCTGACAGACCTTCCTCATCTTCCTCCTCATCGTCCTCTAGCTCTTCTGGCAAAGCAGCTGCCACTTCCCTTGATCCTGCTGTTATTGAATGGGATAAGAACCGCAATGCTCTCACCCAGATTGCACTCACCATTGAAGACACTCCTTTATCTATGATTGAAGGGAAAGACTCCACTAAAGAAGCCTGGGTTGCCCTATTGAAACGTTACAATGGAGTCGGTGCACAAGATGCTGCTTGTCATATCCATACCAACTCTGCCCAACCTCTGATCTACTCCACCACCATTCTGGTTCACCTCTGGTTTGTCCTCTCCCTCACCTCTGCCATATCCTCCAGTATACCTCTGGTCCACCTCCGCCTCCGATCTCCGGTACCTTCTCCAGTACCTTCTCTGGTACCCCTTATCCTCATCTTAGACGTTTATTAATATTTCTACCTACTGTCAGAGACCAGATTCGAGACGAGGGAGAGTCTCCATAGCAGAGGGCTTTGGCCTCAGCGACTTCTGCCAAGAGCGCTGTGCCTAGTGACACGTCTGTGCCCTAACTTACTGACTGGCAATCAGAACCGAAGGGGGGTAACTCTAGTTGATTTTATTACTGGAGTGTAACCTATGTACAAGTGGGATATATATATGGTTACAGCGAAGACGGGTCCGCAATTGGCAGAGCCGAACAGAGCGGAGCTAACGGGGTTAAACATTAGCCGACTGAATATTACCGACAAGTCGGGTCGCAGGGTTAGTGGAAAGGCAGGCGATAACCCAGAAATGGAAAGGAGGGATAGGCCCGAAGGTGGGCTCTGCAGGGCAGGCAAGTGCATTGCCCAGCGGAGGCGGGAGTGCGCTAGCGGACGTCGGAGCTGTCCGGAAGTCTTTGGGGGTCCATACTTAGGGAGGCGTAGGTAATAAATTGAAATGAGGGGGTGGTGACCATCGAGGGGTACCGAGAGGATTGCGGAATACGGGAGCTCCGAGGTTAGTGGGAAAGGAGCGAGGTTAGACCAGAGGGATCGGAGGGACCGGAAGTCGATGGCTGGGGATGGATATGACACCTACTCAATATTACTATGGACCTCTGCCAACCCCACAAAGGTTTTCCCACTATCCAATAGCTGTCGCTAATCCCACCCTTCATCTACCCACTCCACAGTGCTCGATAAGGCAATTCTCTCATGAGCTCACCAACCTGGCAAGTGGGTAAGTCCATTTTGGGTTTTCCCTTTGTTCTTATTTGTCTTGTATTATGTATATAAGTCATGTACTGTAGTTGATGGCACTTCAGTGCAAAATCGATGATGACTAGATCCCCCCAGAGTTCGCACCCCCTCATTCTGAAGTTAAGGACCCAACACTAGTGTTACCGAATGTTGGCACAATGCTCCTCTCCAAGTCGCTGAGGCCACAGTCCCTCTGCTCGTTCTCTACCTCTGGCCTCCCTTCTGGGGAAAGGTCCAGACATGCCCCTCCCTGCCATGTTCTGACACTGCTAGAGTGATGACTCAACTTCATCATTACCAACTAAACAATTCCAAACCTCTTGAGCCTCAGCTGATTGAGATGTGGGGACTTTGCGACTGACTGGCTAGTCTTGGTGATACTTATACTGATGCCAAGTTTGCTATGATAGTGTCTGAAGCACTACCAGAGTTGTATGATACCCTTAAGACAATAACATTGGTGGATCTTGATGATGCATCCACAATTGCCTGTGACAAGCTCATTGCTCAGATCCTCCGAGAAGAGAAACAGAAGTCCAAACCTAGGTCATCTACTGCTCTGATTGCCAAATCTGGAAAGGTTGCTAGCAAAGAGTCAGATAAGTCAGATGGGAAGAAATCTAAAAAGACTGAAGATACCCACATTGTACAAACACTAACTGTAAATGGAGGTTGGGACACACCTTCGAACAGTGTTGGGTGGAAGGTGGTGGATCTGAAGGCCAATGTCCAGCGAAATCGAATGACAAACAAGCCATGAAGGATAAGGATAAGGATGCCAAGATTGACCTTTTTCTGGTAGAAGAACAGGTGGTGGTTGCAGGGAGCAATTGTGCATGGATGACTGAATGGGTTATAGACTCTGGGGCATCATCACATATCTGTGCTAATTGCAATTGGTTCTCTTCATACTCACCTTTACATCCTCCTCATCCTGTCTACCTTGGTGACAAACGTGCACTTTTTGCCACTGGTCGGGGTCAGATCAAAGTCATCCTCCACAATGGGACCAAAGATCATTGTGTTGTAGGAGTGCATAATAGGTGTGCTCAATTTCATGGAACCTTATGAACAGTAAATACATCAAAATTGGGCTCCTGCCCTTGTACATTATTAGGAAAAAAGAATTATAGGGGGGAGTAATAAGAAAGAAGAAAGAGGGTTTTCGTACGAACCGAAAGAGCCTTTCCGCGAAGGAATTGGTTGATCTTTGGTGGAGAAATTCAACCTGAGATGTCTTCATGTGCAAAGTCTGTGCACTTGACTGTGACCATGGGAACAAGGTCAAAGGTTGATGGAAGAGGACGATCTTGAGGTCATTAAATCCAGAAAAATGCCCAAAGACTCAGTGTTGAATTTCACCCTAATTGGTTCAGTGGTTGTGGAGATATTCTGATTATCGGGCATGATGGGAGTCATGGGACAATATGAACTATACAGATGCTCACGTGTGAGCTAGTCTCAGTGAAATTCCAAGAGAATACAGGCTAGTTAAATGATATAAATGCTAAAGAAGTCATTGGAGGAGTCTTGGAATTATGGCATATTATTTGGTCCAAGTTTCCCTGTGCATGGATAATCAAGATTTGTATTCCACATCTGAGAATTCCTGTTCTCAGTCAAATCTCCACCAAATTTCACAAAATCGGTATCGTCAGAAAGCTATGGATGAGGAGAGTCGAATGGAATAAAGGGACGGAGTTTTGATGCGATATTGGGAGTGATATAAGGAAGTTGGTGTTTAACATTTCATTCTTCTTTTGTTGTATGGGAATTTATTCAAAGCCAATGGTAACCAAGCCTTATTGCCATTATTGGTGAAGGCTTGGCTTAGCTGAACCATATATTTCGGAGTCTTTTCCACTATTGTATATTTGCAGTATGAGTATATGTCAGGGACCGGTCCAGGGTTGAGAGCGTCCAGGTATATCACCCAGCGCTGAGGGCCCGGTGGGGTATGAAGCAGGCACGTACGGCAACGGGTCCAGTGCAGGCAAATGTCCCTGAAGTGGGAATCATGTTTATTATCATTAGAAGGAAAACTAAGCTACTTACCTGAAGTGGGAATGGTGAGAAGAAGACTGCTTCTCTGGTTCCCACCCCAGGTATGTTTATATACATGGTGCTTGGGTCACATGAGAGTTGCCATGTC